AATTTTTGAGAATTTGATAGTTTAAGTTTTGTGCCTAAAATTCGAATATTTAAAATTCAAAAACATTAGAAATTGTCTTAGTTCATTTCGAAATTAGTTTTTCTTTAGGAGTTAAGATAGATTTTAGGTTAACTTCAATTGAGATGATCTGAGCTTAGTTTGGGAACGTGGCATATACATGACACTTTAGCCAGTTCTTAAAGTAGGCTATGCAATTACTCGTTTACGCTATTGACATGGTGAAGGAGGGTTGGGAACGGGGGCTCGCCTACTCCATCCAGCAGGGAGTCGAGAACCTAATGCGCCAACTCCGAAGTGCCAAGAAGGCGGCATATCGGAAAATCGACGACGACGACGACGACGACGGCGCCGACGAGAATGACTGGCAAAATGTTAGCCGGCGCGGAACGGTTGGCGGGCGGGCCATGGCGCCACTAACGAAACGAGACCGAACGAAACAGAACGAAATGAAACGAATGGGAAACGAGCCAAAAACGAATTGAAACGAACTGGAAGCGACGAGTGGCGCGCGTTCAGCCGGCCGCACGAGTCGCAAGGACGAGGACGAGCCTTTATCGGCCCAGCTGAGCGAACAACAACAACAACAACAACAGCAACAGCAACAGCAGCAGCAGCAGCAGCAGCAACAACACAAGCAGCAGTTATAAAAGCTTTGGCAGCGCCGCACGCAGACGCAGACTGGAATAGTTCCAATAACGGCAAACGCGAGCAACAAAAACAACAACAACAAGCACTGAAGTTGCCGTGCAGCCAAATCGGCGACGAGTAGACGCCGCTGTCTCTGCCGCTGCCGCTGCCGCTGTCGCCGCTTCTTGTACTGCTCAACGCCGACGCTGCTTCGTTGTGCGAGTTGTTCCGGCCAAAGATTCAGTCGTCGTCGAGCTTTCAAAACGTTTGCAGCAAACGAACAAAAATCACACACAAAATTGTGGGCAGCAGCAGCTAAAGAAGAAGTCGCAACAACAGCAACAGCAGCAGCAGCAGCAGCAGCAGTAAAATCAGCCGCAGCCGCAGCAGCAGCTAAAAAGTAAATTCAATTCGAGCTAAAAAACAAAAAATGAAGAGAAGTTCAACAAAAACTTCAATCTATTTTTTTTTGACAAGTTTTTTTTTTGTTCGCAACTAAAGTGACAAATTTTTTGTTGGTGTGTGTGCCTGTATGTGCCTGTGTATGTGTGTGTGTGTGCGTCAAGTGCCTCTTCCGCTTGCCCGCTTGCCCTCTTGCCCTCTTGCCCACTTGCCTGCTGGTATATGCAACTTCTTTGCTTGCTGGTTGGTGGAAGGTTTTTGTGGCTTCCTTGCGGTGATATCATATAACAAATTGCCACAGTTCTCTGCGGCTTGCAGCCACAACACGTGCCGCGACTGTTGTGTGCGTGTGTGTGTGTGTGTGTGTGTGTGTGTGTGTGTGACCTATTGATTCTACAACTTCCTCTGCAGTTGCTTGAAGCTCAGCGCAGTTCCGTTTCATTGCGGCTTCAGTTGCAACTTCTTTTAAGCGCCCCAGTTGCACAGCTCCGTTCTTGCACGTTGCAAGTGTCTGCTTCAATTTATTTTTTTCACATTTTTTTTTCTGGTCTTTCGTCTTAAATACGATCTGTACAAGTGATTGCTGCAGCTATTTGGCCAATCATCAGCAGCCAATCAATTTTAAATTGCAAATTGCTGCAGCTTTGCGTGACTTGAATGAAAAAACGTTAAAAAGTTGCTTATATATGTCTATGAGAAGGATCAATTGAATATACTGTTAACATATATAATACAAGGAGTAGGCCCGCGCAGATATTCTTCATAAAGCTGCTTGTTCTTAGCTGTAAAGCTTACAGAATTGAGGCTGTTTAGTAATATACATATATTATTTTAAGATACATTTATCTTCGACTTAGCCAGGGGGGTTTTTGGTAGCAGAACAAGTTTAGGAGTTGCTTGGGGTTTTTGATGTTTGGCTGCGATGTTTTTGAATGTACTTGGAAGCATGCTACCTTAGAGTAAAGATCAAGCCACAGAGTCATCCCTTAAAATATGCACTGAAGGTAATATGGAATCCTACTACACAAATACTTGTTTCCCCGATTAGTAAGTAAGAAGAACTAAGCGAAAATCTGCAAACAAAATGTTCGAGTCGGAAAGTATAGCACATTTTTTGGTAGACTATGAAAATGATAAAATAAATAATAATATAAATATATTATAATATTTATTTATTAATATTAATAAAATTGATCAAATAAACAATTCTAATAATACAAATAATAAAAAAAAAGAAAACATAAAACTGCGATTTGCAGTTCGAATCAGCTCGCTGGTTCAGTTCGCTAAGCAGTTTTTCCACATTATTGTCCCATGACAAACTTAATTATGTACATTTTTGTACTGTAAGTTTTTGTACTGAAAGTATTTCCATACACAATACACGGCCAAAACATGATTTTCATTCAGAGTTATGAACACTTTGCAACTGTCTTGAAATGAACCTCGCTAAAGAAAAAACAATCGGATTTGGTTCGGCTTTCTGCTTAGCTTTGTGAACTATTGGCTCGGATTTAGTTTTGGGCTTATAGACATGATTTCTGAAATATATTAAACAGAAAACATAAATAAGGTCTCAATTTAATAAAGCAGAACATGCTGTAAGTTGGCTTAATTATTACGATTTTGAATAGTTACATTTTAACTATTCAACTATCAAACCAGCCAACAACTGTCTCTAGCCGAAAACTAAATGTAAAGCCACTTTATACTTCCCTTTTTTTAGCTTTCGATTAGCTATAAATACAGGTTTGCTTAGTAAATCTCAAAAATATTTGTACAAAAACATTGCATAGATATGAAGTTTGCATTGAAACTAAATAATTGAAATACGACGCACAGTCCAAAGGAGAAAATGCTTCCTTGTTTTTGGTCGCCTGCACTTGACTTTAGCAGCTGTGCTTTTTTGGTGGCAAATGCAAAAAATAAGAGTAAAGCAAAACAAAGATATGGGCCCAAAAATAGCAAAAACTCATTAATCAAAAGCAAGGCGTGCCCACGACCAAGACCCCCAGAGATATAGCCCCAAGCAAATGCAAAATTGCATTGCGTTTGGCAGCTCTCAGAACTGAGTACTTCGAATATCTAGCACTCATGTGTGTATATGGGGTGTGCGTGTGTGTGTGTGTGTGTGAGTGTGTGTGAGTGTGCGTGTGGAGATACAAGTGTAGCTGCATTTGCCGGCGACTGGCTGGGTGAATCATCGGGCGACGCCGCCAACAACACGAACCAGCGGCAGTGGGGACACTAGCAACAGCAGCAACAACGACAACAGTAGCAGCAGCAGCAGCAGCAGCAGCAACAACAACTTACTGAAAGACGGCGTCAGCGGAGCGCAACGCCTGTGGCAAGGGAGAAGGCGCAATGGGCACGTAGACCAGGCACGCGACCAAGTCCAAGGCACAAAAGCAACAACAACAACAACAGCAGCAACAACAAGCCTAACAACAACACACTGCAGGATGACAACAACAACGCGACATAAAATATCAAAAGGAGTTGTTCAGCTTGTTGTTGTTTTTGTTTTTATTTTTATAGCTGTTGTTGGTGTTGCCTCTGTTGCTGCTGCTGTTGCTGCTGCTGTTGTTGTTGTTGTTGCTGCTGCTTTTTATAGTTTTCACATTCAGTCAGGCAACACCAGCGCCTGATGACGTCGACGTTGTCGTCGTTGTCGTTGCCATGGAGCGATGACGACATCTTTTTGGGGTGTGTGTGCGCCCAAGTGTGTGTGTGTGTGTTTGTGTGTTGCTGCATATGTGCAATTTGTGGCTGTTGTCGTTATTGTTGTTGTTGTCAGCAACACGGCCAAAGTTCAATGCATTTATATGCGGAGCTTGTCTATGGCTTTTTATAGCTCCTTGGCTCGTCTGGCTGATGGAACTGGCCGTCGGCCCGTCGGCCTATCGGCTTGTCGGTCCGTCGGTTCTTCGGCCCATTGGGCCGTGCGGCATTAGTGACTTGCCTCAGACCTGGCCAGCTCTATATATGTGCATCTTTTCAGGTTGTCATAAGTGCAGCGTCTAACAGCAAATTGTTGTTGTTGTAGTTGTGTGGAGCTGGAAAAAAATTACTTCTAAAACTCGTTCAGAGCCACTTGAGCTGATTAACTGGAAATAAAAGTAAAGTGGGACGACTTTCAATAGCTTAGATCAACAATGGATAGAGCTTTGTGTAAAAATCAATTTGTGCAATATACCGTGCAACTCATAGAACATAGAAAGTAGTCCGTCTCGTTGCATTTATTGATATATATAAATATATCTATCATCAATACTCTAGATAAGTTCTCTGTTCCCCATGTTTTTCCCCTCCCCATTTAAAACATATATTAGCACATGTAAGCCCTCGCTTATTACAAAAATTTCCCCTTTTCGCTCTTTTATTTGCAGATCCAAAGCAAACGAAGGAAAGCTAAAAAAGAAAAAACAACCGAAAAAGTCGCAGATTTCAAAGAAAAACCAAAAAAAGACATTCAAAAAAGTATATATATATTTATATATATATATCTATATATATAGACGTCACTCATAAGCAGAAAACAAAAGTTTAAATTTGCATATTAAAATAACTCACACACACACATACATATAAACACTCACACACACACTTTACAAAACCAAATGGACAATTATTATTAATTAAAATATTAAAAACCAAAGCAAAAAAAAAAGCATTGCTACAAGTAAAAGCTAGTCCAAATCTACAGAAAAAAAAGAAAAAATTATATTTAACTCATAATATTGAAAGAAAAATAAACTAAAACAAAAATCAACACGCCAATCGCCGCAAAATTTACTCCAGCAAAAAAACCAAATATTATTAAAAAATTCCCAAACGCTAATTTAATTTCAAGAAAAACCAAAAGCAACTAACACAGCTTCGAAGTGTGCACAACAAATAAGAAAACAAAAAGAAAATTGCAAGCAAAAAAAAAAAAAAAAACCAATAAATAAATAAATATAAATACAAAAATATAATTTCGCATATAAAGAAAAAACCAATTAAGCAAAAAATTGCAGAGACAAGAAAAAACTTAAGTGAAGAACTCATTAAAAAAAAGCGCCCAAGTCACGGCCCGCAAACAAAAAGTACAACAAATAACAACAACAACAACAGAAAGCAGCCGCAAGAAGCGCAGCTTGTGAAGTGAAGCAGCAAAAGCTGCCACGCCCCGTCAGCCAGCCGCCCGCCCAATTGCCACAGCAGTCAAGACTGAGCTTCGGACGTTTTATCGAAAAATTTCCAAGAAACTTGAAGTGCCACAAAACGCCGCGCAAGACAGAGACAAGCCAGTGAGAGCGAGACAGACACAGAGCGAGAGTGAGAAAGAGAGATAGCGAGAGAGATAGAGAGAGAGACAGAGGCAGTGTGAACGAAAGAGACACGCATAGTGTGTGAAAGAGTACGGTAGAGTTTCAAAAACTCCGCAGCGCAAAGCGATACGTCTTTTTTTTTCAAGTGTACGGCTAGGTTTATTTTTTTTGTGTGCCCGTGTCTGTGAGAACAAGAGCAACAACTGTGATGGGAGATCGGCCAAAGGCGACAACAACAACATCAGGAGCAGCAGCAGCAGCAGGTGTAGGAACTAGTGAAGCAGCTATCATGGCAGCAACCGCTCCGGAAGGTCCCGCCCAAGCCAACGGGAATGGGAATGGCAACGGCAATGGCAACGGTAACGGCAACGGCAACGGGAACGGCAGTGGCAATGGCAACGGCAATGGAGGCGCTGATCCGCCCCAGCAGCTGGGTCAGGTGGAGGTGCATGTACCAGCTACGGCTACATTGCCGCCGCCGTCGCCTGGCCAAGTGGATGCAGATGGCGTGGATGCAGCTGGTGCCAGCGCTGCTGGCGATGCTGGTGATGATGCGACCACTGGGGCAGCCGCCAGCTCATTGCCGCCGTCGGAAATTGGCGGACGTCCGCCGTTGGATACCGCCTGCTCGGATGGCGGTGGCGCCTCCAGCTTGGCCGGCGGCATTGTGGGACCGCCCAGTCCGCTAACCGGCTGCTATCTACTTATTGTAATGGGCGAGCCGCACTCCGAGGAGCACAAGGACAACATCTTGCAGCATCTGCTCAAGGGTAAGTGGCACGTGTAATGCATACATATATGTTAGATATCTGCATGCCTACATGGCATACCATATTGGCCAAAACATCAAAGCTGCACGTACTGCGCCCCTGCCCGACACTCACTCAGCACACAAATGAAAAACTTCGTCTAGCTCATCAGCATAAATTATTCGCATTGCTCCCATAGAAAGTTTGCATATGCAAATGAGCAGCTGCAGCAGATCGGGCGGGTGGGCGGTCGGCGGCGGGCTTGCCATGGAGTTACGCCTGAGCAAATAACGTCGCGTGCCACTCGAATGCAATCCAATCCAATCCAAATCCAATTCCAATTCCAATCCAATTCCAATTTCAATCCAATTCCAATCTACTTGCACCCATCGCTGGCCAATCCACCCACTGTGCGCTGCCCATTTTCACACTTTGCTGGCTGCCGACACGCCGTCTAATTAGCTGGCCACTGCCCGTACCGCCCATCCCGCCCACCCAGCTCTGCTTCTGGACAAGTCAGTAGTCAGTTTTCATAGTCAATGGCTAGCCAGACCATGCTTTTCGGCTTGGGCTTGTCTTGTTTTCATGCTTCCTTTCCTCCCCCCTCGACCATTTCTTATTATAAGTATATTGTTTATTATTCATTTTTCATCTGCCGTTGCTTCTAACTAGCCGTTTTCTTGCTCATTTTCACTTGCCGCCAACGACTGACACAGTTTTCCGGCTTGCACATAATTATCTTGAGTGCTGTCGATGGTATCTGAGCTGTGGGCGTGGCACTTATTGCCCCCAAATGCAGTTCGAGACAGTTTTAAAATACCCTAACCTTAAACAATTTATAAGAATTGCAAAGCGCTTAATTGCCGACTTTGGTGAAAACAGAAAACAATTCCATACAAAAATAATGCATTTGATCGATTCTTACCATAAATATAATCTACCTGATATAGTTAAGTCTTGGTTCATCTATAAGAAGCATCTTAGAAGCCGTATGTTTGCTTAAGCCTAAAACCAAAAAGTTGCTCAAGCAAGAACTTAATTTTCTTAGTGATTCGTTTTCAGGGCAACAGACAGACGCACATGCTTAGATCGACTCGGCTGTTGGTTCTGATCAATTATATTAATATATATATCTATAACACTAGAAATACACTTTGGGTTCGGGTATGTCGAAAATATAAAATTTAAGAAAAAAATATTTTACTATAAACACAAAATGGTCTTTCACACATAAATTCATTGAAATCGTATGGCCTTTTTTCAAAAATAAGATTGAGGTGAATAGAAAAAACCAAACATAGACTTTGCAGTCGGAAGAGTTTACGACATACGCTGTTTTCAGTTCAAAATCAAGCTCTAAAAATCTAGGATCTAAAAAAAGGGGCGTTGTTGACAATGAATTCGAAAATGGGCGAGCCAGAAATATTTGCTAACATATCTTAAAACATCGGCCGTAAATTAAGAAAGCAAAATTGTGCATACAAAGATAGTATATCATTTTTTTACCTTCTACTAACAGAGTATACAAACATATTGAATTCGAATAATATATATTTATAGAATAAGAGGGAAAAAGGAATAGCATGATACAAATTCTTATACTTGTGCAGAAAAGTGAAAAAATACATAAATATTCGACCTGATGTCCATTCCTTTCCATTATCTATTCATCAAGGTTCAAGAAAAGACAATTAACTGCTAATAAAAGTAAACAATAGCTAAAAGCTTCAATGGATTCTAATTTTAAGTATCTAGTGCTCGGAAATAGTTTCAACTGTTTTCTATTTGTTGCATTTAGCTGGAGGTTGGGGAGAACGCGTGGAGAGCGGGGTGTGAACTGAGGGAAATTGCTGCGCCGCTGGATGCGAGTTAATCGCAATTTTCCCGCAGTTAACAATTAACACAGCAGGCGGTGGAGGAATATATAGATATATAGAACAAGGGATAGAAGATAGGGGGCTGGCAGAGGGGGTGTAGCGTGGCGTGGGCGTCGCACAGCTAGCCGCAAATTCAATTGAAATGTCGCATTTAATTCGATTTAAACATAGTGCGCCTCAAAGTATGCAGCATTTGTTGCAATTTAATTAAAATTTAAAAAAAATGGCAAACATAAGCCCATGTTGCAGCGCAAACACACGGACGCACGCATACACACACACATGTGTAGCTTAAAATACTTTTGTATTAATTATTTTCTTGTTGATTGCATTGCACGGCAAACACAACAAAGTTCAACAGTTGCAACCGGAAGCGGCGGTCCAACTAACTGTGTGTGTGTGTGTGTTTGTTGAGTTATTAGCAAATATTTGATTTATGCAGACAACAAGAGACTGTGACAAAGCCCAAAGCCCAACAGATGAGGCAGGCGTTCAGAATGGCTGTGTGTCTGGGTTGGCTGGTGGGCTGGTTGGGCGCTTGGGCGGTTGTCTGGCTGGGCGAACTGGGCGTGGCAGATTAGCCAAGGGGCAGTTATTGCAGCAAGTGGCAAGTGGCATAATTGCTCGAGAAGCGCCGCCGCCTGACGCGCCCAAATGCTACGGAAATTACAAAAGTTGACCGTGCGCGACAAAAATTAGTCGTTCGTTCTTTTGAGTGGGTGTGGTTGGGCTTTTGGGCGGCTTATTGCGTGGGCGGTGGGTTGGCTGGTGCGTCGCTTGGGCGCGGCTGTCTGCCAGGGGCTGCTCCCTGGACGCTGTTTACCTGCAGCTCTTGTGCGTTTTATTTTTGCGCTAGTTTTTGCGGAAAAATGTTATGTTTGTCCAGTGCCGACATTTACGCCGGGCAAATAGACGAGGCACAGGTCCGAGCCAGGCCGTAGGAGAATGTGTGCGGTAAGGGCGGGGTCCGTGATGCGTTGTTGCAGCGAATGAGGCAGGTTTTTAATTGATTTTGTGGCACGGTCGACCAGCGTAGCGTTCGGGCCGGGTTGAGCAAACAGCAACGCAAATGTAAATGGGAAAAGGCTAATGGGAAAATGGGGCTGAAGAGGAAGCAATGCGGCTGAAATGCGATGGATACAGATCGGATATATATATATATATATATGGAAAAAAGAGCATTGGGCAGTATTTGTATGCAACAGCTAGCTTCTCTAGAGGATGATACAAAAAATAAGACAGGACTTCTAAGCAGTGAGGGAACATAGAGAAATCCAGTACATAATTCATATGTACCAGTTAAACTAATGTGCTTTATCGGGCAGTTTGTTAGACATACTTTCAAAAACAAACAAGTAAGAGATTCTAGTCGGGAGCTCCCGACTAGGGGATACCCTGAACCCTCTTCTTCCAATATCAAATGCATATATATATTCTATTGTGGAAGCTATATGTCAAGTTTTGGGACTCTAGCTCTTATTATTTACCAAAATTGCCCAAAAAACAGGCTATCGATATCGATTTTTATCGATTGCTTGGAAGCGGAGTAAGTTATCGATTATCGACAACAAACTCGATCTGCGCAGGCAGTAAGAGCACCTACATCTAAAATTTCAAGCCTCTAGCTCTTGAGGGTCTGAGATCCTTGCGTTCATACATACGGACAGACGGACAGACGGACAGACAGGCAGACAGGCAGACAGGCAGACAGACAGACAGACGGACAGACGGACATGGCTAGATCGACTCGGCTATTGATGCTGATCAAGAATATATATACTTTATGGGGTCGGTGATGCTTCCTTCTGCCTGTTACATACAAATACCCCAATTTTTAATGGCTTCAGGGAATAAAAATAACTCAAGAAGACAAGAAGTAGCGGCAGAAGTATGAAAAGAAAAAAATGCATAATCTCTGCAAGAGCTCAAAAAATTTGCTCTTTTAAACTAGAATGCAATTATTTTAAGCTAGAATCAAGCTAAAACTCAAAACTGAATATTAAATGTAATTCCAAACTAAAAAGAAGAGAACATAGGAAATTCTTCCGTCCGGCACTTTGTTGCCCACCTATTTGCCGGATGTGACTCGGGTCTGAGCTGCAGTATCACTTACATTTATGAGGGACAACCACTTGAGGCCCCCGCCAAGAGCAGGGAGCACTCGACAGTTGCCAGTTGCTCCGCGTACTCCCCTGCACTTAATTATGACAATTACTGCTGCTCAATTGCTGCGTATCTAGTTTTTTCTTCTTCTCTTGTTCTTCTTCTATTCTATTAGCCTAATTTAAGAGAGGGGCGCCACATTTCGCTTGGCTCATTTGGTTTAATGGCTGAGCTTCATTTCGTAACCTGCGCTTTTTAATTAACTTAAAAAAGAAATCAATATAAAGAGCAGCGTTCAAGGTCAGCCAATGGAACCAAATGAGGCAAGCGACAAGGTGGGTGGGGATGAGTGGGGGCAAGCGTTGGATACACGGATATGTCAGAGCAACATAACCTTATTATAATGACAATTGTCCAGGGTGGGGCTTGGATGGCAACTGGTGACATGGTATAGAGTCTAGGGTCTAGGGTCTTTGGGGCGTGTCGCCTTTTTAAGCATTGCGAAAATGTGTTAAGGTAAAAATCGATCAACTGGCAATGCGACAAGAGACAATAGCGAGACGAGTGAGAAAGAGGGAGAGACAGACACAGAGACAGAGAAAGAAGGGTAGAAAGCGAGAGAGAGAAAGTGCGTGGCTCGCTTCGACTTTGTGGCTATTTTTAACGTCGGGAACTCTGCTTGGAAAGGGTGTTGGGCTGTTGCCCGTCAATTGCGTGACAATGTGTATAAGAGATGACAGCTGACTGCACTTGATGACACACGCACACACACACGCACACACACGCACACACACACTCACAATTACAGCTGACGCAGCTTTGTTGACGGTTCAGCAACAGCCACGTCATCGGCTGTCGACTACGTGACTGAGAAACTGGATAAACTGGGAAAACAAAGTGGATCCACTCACAAAAAAAAAAAAAAAAACAATAAAAAACCAATAGTAGAAGCTGAAAGTCTGCTGTTTGCCTGTGTCCAACTCTTACACAACTCTTAACAATGCACAAAAAGAAGAAACAAGCAAATATCGTTGGCTGAAA